AGGGACCTGATTGCCAGATGTTGGAGAACTCTCTAGAAGGGAATGTTCGGGCAGAAGAAGTTACTTTGATCGGGATTAGCTCCACTGCTATTCTGCTTTGAGGCATCAAAATGAAATTTGCTTACCCTCAGAAACTAGGCTGTCCTCAAATACTGTTTTAAGTATTATGTATTAGACAGTTAGGTTAGCTTTATCGTTTTACTGTTACAGTATGTTCTCATGTTTCCTGTAAATCTGTCCTGCCATCAATATTGACTTCTAAATTATATTTTCTCCACACTAAGGCCTGGTTATTGAGCGTGGATTTGGTACTAAATCCAATCTGAACCTCGTGACCATTTAGCCTTGGCGGGTTTCGGAGTTCCTGAAGGCCGAGGCCTAGTTAAGGTTGTGGTACAGAGTTGGAACCCCTCAGGGTCTGCAACCAGAGCCTGAGTTTGCCTAACTGAGTTTTACACATGCTCAGGAACTTAAAAGGTAGCAGAGCAGCTAGAGAAACACCAGGTACTTCTCATAGCAGGAACCTGGGATAATTTTATCATTCCCCAAAATTAACTGAAAGCTAATGGACTTTCATTAAATATTACCATTAACTTCATTAGGATTTATGTGAAATCAGCTCTGAAAACCATTAGTGGGGTAGAGAAAATAGCTACTACAGTATTCCAAATCTATGACTTAATTTATTCTTTTTCAGAGAAACAATGCTGGCACTTTAAATAACAAATGAGGCTTAAGGAAGAGAAACTACTTGGGAGACCTGGGAAACTAGTTGGATATTAGAGGTTTTCTGTTCCAAGAAATACTTGATTTAAAAAAAAGGCTTTTGGTAAGCCTCACTGACACAAGTAGCCAATTCAGTGGCCTGCTGCTGAATTTCAGTAGAAACCATGAGGTTTTGTGAGGGGGGACACCGGTGAGGGCATCCTTGACACTCTATCTAGCCTCAGCCCAGGGTCAAGGTGAGAGCAGTGGCACAGAAAGGCCAGCAGAAACAGAGGATGGGGAAGCAAGGGCCAAGGACAGCCAAAGCCAAACAGAGGTGCTGCCGGGTGAAACTGCTGATCAACAAACATGGCCGGGAAGAGAAGGGGTCCAGCTGGAGGAGAAGGAGGAAGAGCCAAAGGAAGAGATGCTCTCAGACAGAGAAGAGGAGAGAACCTGAGGAGATGCCCAGAAAGAGTTAGAAGAGGTGTATAACATAGAGCAGGGCAAGGCAAAAGTCCCAGAACCAGAAGGGGAATGGGGCTACCAGTATAAAGAGGACCACTGGACTTGCATTTGCAGCCTCCACCATGCCTGAACTACTGGGGAGAATGATGCCAGAAACAAGGGCCCTTAACCGCCATCTGGATCAGTTCTGGGTAACCAACTACTATGCAGCTGCAACACTAGAAATGGAAATGCCAGAAATAACACCAAGGCCAACTCCAGAAGCAGCAGCAGCAGACACCGGCACAGACCGGCACCCCACCAGGGCCCCCATTCCCTGTCCTCACTTGCAGGCACACAGACTCTCACTTCTCCAGGCCTCCATCTTTGGCCATGAGTTAGCACCCAACACTGAGCCAGACGACAGACTCTCACATCCCAGCACAGTTAATAATCTTGGGGTGCAGAGCAAACTAAGACTGAACCAGGGCTAGTGAAGGTAACTAGCCCTGCGAATTGGAAAGCCACAGGAAGGAGACATTGTTGATACGCCTGTCCAAGTGCTAATAAACCCCACTTTGTTTGAAACACCTGGCGTAAAGTCCATGGATATAAGGGACAGAGGACAGGGCCACCCATTCACCGTGGTAGGGACAGCAGGGCTCACAAATTTATTTTAAAATAAAGCAACGAACAGAACCGTTTTCCTTGGGGCAACATGCAGCCACAAGGGCTGGACTTGATGATCCATAAGGTCCCTTCCAGCTCAGTTCTAAGATGATGATGATGATATTTTACCCACTTCTACACTGAACACCAGACCTACCATTGAAAGTGAAAACATGCTTGATGTCTGACCAAACAAGCAGATGATTTAGCACACTTTCCACATCTCTCCGGGGCTTCCCCATCTCATCAGTTGGCCATGCCTTGGTGATCACAGCAGATACAAGTTTGCCCAGCTTCATGAGGTCATAAGTCGATATTAGACCAAGGAGATTACGGTTTTCCTACACAAGACATGAAACGCATGCAATATTAGCAAAGCACGAGCACATAGGGCAGCCTACCGTATCATTTAAATTCTTAAAGGATTACAGTTCATTTCATATGCAGCTCATTCCTCTCCATGTTCACCAACTTCTTTGGCACTTATTGTCAAAGACAGAGGATAGATTTACCGACAGGATAAACCAATTGGCAGGAATAGTTCATATCTGTTTAACTAACACCTCAGAACAAGTGAGATCTGGCAGAGAGAACAGTTGGTAATTACTTTTAAATTGTCCCTAAAATTATTACTTAACAAGACAGACCTGCAGGGCAATCAGACAGACATTTCTCCCACCGTTTGAGGATGGGCTGGTTTTCTCCTTTTTTTCTGACAACCACATGATGTACAGGCAATCATGAAGCAGCCCAATCCTTAGCTATGCCTACGCACACTTTTTTGGGTCCGTGTCAGGGGGCTACTATTTTTTTCAGTGCCAGCAGGATTGTTCCATTTTATGTTGGTCTCTGGCATGTGTGATTGCTAGTATTAAACAAAAGCAGCATGGGTAGGTTTCCCCCCAACAATTCAGTGCTATGTTATTTGGGTGGCAAGTCGATCCGCTGATATGTCACTCAATAATAAATGAAAACAAACATTCCGGTGTTCCCCTATTCCCTGAACAGGGGTGACAGGAGAGGACATAGAGGGTGGTCTTTCTCTTTCCTTTATAATCCAGTGCTCTTTCTCTCTGGTGGTAAGCTGATGTAGTGAAATGTCATTTACCAACAAATAATAATAAATTAATCCAGCTTTCCCTGCACCCCACAGGGAACAGAGAAAGGAAGCACAGGAGAGAAGAGGGAGGGGGAAATCTATTTTTTGTTTTCTTCTTTCCTTTTCAATGTTTCTTTATAATCTAGTGCTGTTTAACTTCAGTGGCTAGTTAATGAAGTGATGTATCACTTGACAATTATTAAAAAACAACACCCAATCACCTCCCCACTTTTCCTGGTGAGATAGACCGAAGAGGAGGGGGAGACAGAAGAGGAAATGTATAGCCCCCTCTTTTTTTTCTTTATAATCCAGTGCTGTTTCACTTCAGTGGCAAGTTATTACAGTGATGTGTCACTTACCAAAAAATGAAAACAAATCCATTGTTCACCCGCTTGACAGTGATTAACAGACTGGAGTAGATGGAGGTTGAGAGGGAAGAATGAGCTAAGAGTCACTTTGAGGGGCAGCGTGGCTTCCTGTACTAAAACTACACAATCCTTATACATGAATGCAAGGATCATTCTAAATCTCTGGCTACACTTTAAAGTAACCCTGTTTAGCCCAATCCAGTCCAGAGTAACTTCACTGTCAAGTTGCACTCTTACAAAAAATAATTGCTGGCACATAATTCATTTGCCTTGTTTAACAGCAGTTCAAAGAGGCAAGCTCAATTTACCTATGACTGACTTAGTCACAAATCCATCACATGTACTATGATTTTAAGCACACATCCCTATGTCTTAAAATCAACAACTTTAAGAATTACAGAAGCAGTCAGAGGACTTTAGGTGCATTACCTGATGAGCTGAATTAATAGCATCCATTGCGCAATCCTCAAAAGTTTTGCATATCATACAGTCAAGTTCTTCAAATTGCTTGTAGCAAGAGCCATAGACGCTAATTCGTTCAATGGGAGGCTCCTATTACAAAACAGTGAAAGAAAGAAAGAAAGAAAGAAAGAAAGAAAGAAAGAAAGAAAGAAAGAAAGAAAGAAAGAAAGAAAGAAAGAAAGAAAGAAAGAAAGAAAGAAAGAAAGAAAGAACTATCATTGGATCTGGATACTTAGGCTGAAGTCCTATAGTAAATCACAACCAGAGAAAGCCCATTGAAGGAGGGGGGATTTGGTGAGTCAACTCTTGCATACATTTTACTTATTCAATGGCCCTATTCTAACTGTGACTTACTACTGGATTTCCGCCTTAATTAATGAGAGGAAAGCATAGGAAGAAAGACATTTAGGACAACTAAACAATAGTAACAACAAAATCAAGGATCCTTTTTTAGAACTTTCAATTATTACTTTTATTTATATAAAAAATCTAGTGGTTGTTGTACTACTTCATGTAGTACATGAAGGAGACATGGGATATTTGTACAGTGCTGCCTCGCAAGACGATTTTAATTTGTTCTGCGAAAATCTTCGTCTTGTGAAAAAATCATCTTGGAAGGTTCCCTATGCATCAGTCTCAAAAAAAAAAAAAGTTGTGCGAAGTACGGTCATAGAAAAAAACCTCTTGTGAGGCACCATAGCGATCGCAAAACGCAATTGTCTTGCTGTTTTTTTGTCCCATGAGGCAATCATCTAGCAAGGCACCACTGTATTTGTATCCCTGGGGATATGAACATGAATACTGGCACCACAGGTGCATGAGAAAATCAGACTCTCCTCTGAACTGGCAGGTCCACTCACTGCTTGCTGCACGGCGCACACGGATGGCATCATTCTCAGCCTCATCGGGGGAGCCACCTGGTCTTTGCTTCCCTGCACAGCCATCTACTTAACAGCTGAGTGGGGAGATTTGTCATCCCGCCTCCTCACAGGAATAGTCAGCTGTCTGGAGAGGCCGGGAAGTGCCAGCCAGGCTACTGCCACGATTGACGTGACAAGAATGACGCTGGCTGCACATACTATGTGGCAAGAGATGAGTGGAGTTGCTGGTTTGGGGCGGGGGGAATCCAGGCATACGGATACAAATACCCCATGTCTATTCTAGAGCAATCGTCATATAAACTGCCTCATTGGTTTAACCTCAATCTAGCTCAAAGAAACAGAACTCTCTCGCCTTCAGATAGTTAATAAAAGATGATGGGATATTTTCAGATGGTTGTTTCTACGAGCAAAGCCTAATACTGTATACTGTAGCTAAGATCATGTGAGGCCCAAGTCTTAATTGTTCTCAGAAAACAAAGAAAGCTAAACTAGTCCTTAGTAGAGGACAATGAAAACAAAAGAGCTGGAAGAAAATAAAGCCAATAGATAAAATTCCTCCATAGAAGAATTTTCATACACCTGTTGAGGTTTTTCAATAGAGGCTGGACAGCCAGCCTTCTATCATGCATGCATGCCTTTGCTGTGCAGTTTCCTCCACTGGCAGGTTGTACTTGATGATCATTAGGATCCTGTTCGGTTTTATAATTCTATAATTCCCTGAGCAATTACAAAAGACTATAAGAAGACACCATGCATTTTTAAAATTGTCCTTGACTCAAAAAAGCAAAAAAAAAAAAGCAAAGCGTGCTGCTTATATACCGCCCCAGAGTGCTTCAAGCACTCGCTGGGTGGTTTACAAGTTAATTATGCAGGCTACACATTGCCCCCCCCCAGCAAGCTAGGTACTCATTTTACTGACCTTGGAAGGATAGAAGGCTGAGTCAACCTTGGGCCGGGTACCTGGGACTGAACCCCAGTTTGTAAGCGCAGTTTTGGCTGCAGGACAGCCGTTTATCCACTGCGCCACAAGGTTCTTCAAATACTCACTTAAAACCCTTAAACTAAAACATGATAATGTTGCATTTCACATTATATTCTCTTTAGTACCTGTTTGATTCTGCTTTCCAGATCTGCAATTAAAGTTTTCTTCCATTTCTCTGTAAATTCACCATTATGAAAATCTACTTTCAAAAATTGATCCCATGCCTATAAAAGTAAGCATACCTTTATGTGAAAATCAACTCAAATAACGGGGGAAAATATTCAGCAAATGAGATATTCAAGTGATATGCAACTATTTCCCCTGCCTTCTGTCTCTGAAAGCATTCTCAGTCATTTATTAGGGGGAACAGTATCCCATCTACACTGAAAAACAAGGAATGAACTATAACAGAAATAGAACATAACAGGAACCCAATGCTAATCAATCTAACTTCTCAAGTTATTACCATCATTCTAAAAATCAAAGCTTAGCTCCTTGATAGAAGCCCCAGTTACAAGTCCTGAACTTGCAACTCAGACTACCTCAAGACCAAGAAAATGGAACAAGTCAATTTATTTTTATCTAGATTCTGTGTATTTTGTCTTTTTTATTTCCACTATATTTTTGGAAGGAATATTTAAGGAGTGACTACACCAACAAATGCTCCATTTGGGGTGGTCAGATATGCATTATTTTCTGTTGACTTCACAAAATACAAGTCAAGGAGAATCAGCCCAGAGTTTCCCTGAAACATCCATCCTTTCTTCCTCTGCCACAGGGGCTTCTACTGTTGTTGTTGTTATTTTCAAATCAAATGCATTTGCATCAGTTCAGGTGGTGCCATCACTTGAGCTAATGCAAAGGGTAACCAGAAGCTGGCTTTCTGATTTCCTAGTACAGGGTGCAGAAAGAGAAAGCAAAGCAGCACTCACACAGGTGTTGGTTCCCCTCAACATTCTTTGTGTACAAATTGGTTGTTTATTGGTATTTTTTAAAAAATGCTTGGTGTCAGTGCTGGTGCACTAGAGCAGTGGTCCTGAACCTCTTTAACACCGCGGACCGGCTGGGGAAAGCGGGGCACCCCCCACGCTTGTGCACATGCGTGGAGGAGCGGGAGGCCGCTCCTGTGGGCACGTACTTGTGAGCATGCGTGAAAGGTGGCACGGTGCTCGGGGGACACTCATGCACATGCGCGAAGGGGTGGGGGAGCACTTGTGTGGGTGCGGGCGCAGGCGCAAAAGGGCTGTGCGGGAGGGGAAGTGCGTTTGGCGTTCGGGGGGGAGGTCTGTCTCTGCAGCCGGGTCCAGTTCAGGCCATGGACCGGCACTGGACCACGGACTGGGGGTTGGGGATCTCTGCACTAGAGCACAAACCCTGTTTTCCCGAAAATAAAACCTAACCTGAAAATGAGCCCTAGTAGGATTTTTCAGGATGATCGTAATATAAGCCCTACCCCACAAAATAAGCCCCAGTTAAGTGAAAACCCGCCCTCCACCCTTGTGCAGCAACCAGAAGATGACATGACTCTATTTGAATAAATGTAGATTGTTGCACATGAAAAAAAATAAAACATCCCCTGAAAATGAGCCCTAATGCATTTTTGGAGCAAAAATTAATATAAGACCCTCTCTTATTTTTGGGGAAACACGGTAGGAAACAAGGGGAAAAAAAGATAAAGGAAGTGAAGAAGGACGAGTCAAGAGGAAATTGGCAGCCTGCCCTCAGAGAGCTCTACTGCAGCCAAGACTCCTGCAATGGGTGACCAGAAGCTGGCTTTCCCAGCTTCCTAGTACAAGGTGGGGAAGAGAGGAAGCAAATCTGGACGGCTGCCATGGAGCTGCCTTAACAAGGTGCTAACAAGTGCAGAACAGCAATTTCCTCTGCTTTCTCCTGCATGAACAGCTGAAGTAAATTAATCAGGGAAATCCAACTTCCTGGGTGCAACCTCCCAATGGATCCATTCAAATTTTCCCTGTGGTGTAGTCGTATTCTAAGTGGAAATGTGAGGAGAGCAAACACATGCCTCATCCCACACTCTTTGTTCTTTGCCACATGTTCCTAATGCAGGCCTCCTTAGGATCACATAAACACCAAGGAACAGATACCCTTGCTTTACCCCTAAGCTGCCTCAGGAGAAGAAAATGTGAAAGCCCTGTGCTTTTTTAAAAAACCCAAACAGCTTTTTGTAGATTTTTTGGGCCAAAAGTTCTGCTTTGATTGAAAAGGGAGGTCATCCATCTCTATACAGTGGTGCCACAATTTACGACTATCTTGACTTGCGACCAATTCAAGTTACGACCAGCTCCGGCTGCAAAATTTTGCTTTGACTTGCGACCGGCGCTTTGAGTTACGACCGGAAAAAAAGGCGGGAAGGCAGGGAATTTGAACTGCTTTCAGTTAATGGTTGGTCAGTGAAGAGGCTGCTTCTCTGTAGCTCCTTTGCCCCAGCAGTTAAGTGTGTGTGGGTTCGAAAAGAGACTTCAGACTGCCTGGTACTGTACTGTATTTTTTTTGGGGGGGGGGCAGTTTTTGTTTTTAAAATTTTTTGCTTTTTGACTTTTTTAAAACAGAGAGACTGCCTGTTCTCGGTGAGTACCATATGTACAGGGTTTTGCAGCATGGGTTTGGGCTGGGTGGATGGGGGGTTATGTTTCTGTGCTCTGATGGGTCTTGCAGTGTGTAGTTGTAGCTTTTTTAGTCCCTGCTATAATTATTTAATTCTGTGACTCCTAGGGTTTGTGTACTGTGATCTCTTTTGTTTTAAAATATGTTTTGTTTAAAAGGTGTTTTGTTTAAAAGTTGTTGGTTCAAAATGTGTTTTAGACTCCAAATTATCTCCCCCCATTGTCTTCTCTCTCTTTCTATCCTCTTTTTTTGTGCCTAAAACCACAAACCTTTGTCTGAGGTGTCTGTGTACCCCAGTGATGACCTACTTTCTTTCCTCTTTTCCCATTGTTCCCTCCCTCCCTCCCTCTCTCCTTTCCTGCCCTTTTTTTAAACCTAAGTCATATTAAATTTTAAAAAATCTCCCCCAGTGGACAGATTAACCACTTTGACTTGCAACCGACGCCTTGAGATACAACCCAAAAATGGCCGGAATGGATTAATCGCATTTCAGTATACAGTGATGCCTCGCAAGACTAATGCCTCGCGCAACGAAAAACTCACAAGACGAAATTGTTTTGCGATTTTTTGTTCACTCGCAAGACAAATTTTTCTATGGTCATGCTTCGCAAGACGAACAGGAACACATTAATTAAATTTCAATGCATTCCTATGGGAAACCGCGCTTCGCAAGACGAAATTTTCGCAAGACGAAACGACTCGTGGAACGAATTGGTTTCGTCTTGCAAGGCATCACTGTATTCCTATGGGAAATGGTGCTTTGAGTTACAACCAACTTGAGTTATGACTCATCTTTTGGAACAGATTAAGTTCGTAACTCAAGGCACCACTGTACCTCCCCCATTGCTTGTATCCCCTTCCAGATAAATTCCCTCATTTAATACCAAGTAAGTACCCTAAAAGGCCCACGTTCTCTCTATCAAAATCCCTTCTTTGGTAAAAGACCAGCATTTGACAGCCACCTGTCCTGGTCCCTTCAAACATTACAAAACAAAACAAAAACAAAAGAAAAAAACGGAAAGAAAAGCAGGTATAACGCTTGTTGCTTCAGAAAAATGGGTTTCATGCATGACAATAGGCAAGAACCAGAAGGAGACTGCAGCCAGCATGCCAAAAACAAATATAATATTGGAAAGCTGCTGCTGGATCACTGCAGACAGTCCTGCTCTGGTGGCAGGACCACCACCAGTGGTCTTCTGATATTAAAGGCTCCCCTAACACCCGTTCTGAGGCTCTTAAAGCTTCCCTGAGCTTCCCCTTCTCCCTTAGAACCTGAGAGAAACAAGAAGTTTTTAATTTAATTAATTAAAGATATTTGTTGCCAACTGATGATGATGCCAGCTGGCAACAGTTTGCATGGCATAAAGTTGCACAAGAGGATTTGGGCTGTTATTTGTTGCCTAGTGGGTTGCATGACTCTCGGTATGCAAACTGTTTATATCAATTCGGATTTCATAATATGCAGCAAATGTGGCACCACATGTGCTGCCATTTTTTATATGCCACTAATTAAATTTGGGGCACTATACGTTTTGGGTTCTATACTGTATTTTTTATTAAGAAAAGTGCCCTTGAGAAATTCTTTAGGTGTCTTCTGGGCGTTCCTAAATAGCGTCCTGTAACAGTTACTGCAAGGCAAACCACCCAGATTGCTGTTCATTACTAATTTATGAAGTATACAAATTTAATAAACAAATAATAAATTAAGTAATATAATGTAACAAAATTACATATTTTATCATTTATTCTGTAAAACGTATTGGGAGCAATTTGTTGAATTCCAAGTCTTGTTGTATTGGGTTCAAACTAGGCCTTACATTTTCCAGATAAAGGAAGACAAATGGGAGGGAAATACATGAAGAGCAGGTCAAAGCACATGTGAACAGGAGCAACTACTGTAGAACCAGGACCCTTGGAGAAGGTGTGTCCATAAAGAAAGCAAGGACTGCTATTGAAAGAAACATGATGTGTTTTTTGAAAAGGAGTACAATTTACATTGACAAAAGATTTTTTTTTTTTTTGCAGAAACTAGCAAGTCGCTTCATTGTCAAAATACAAACCTGAAGTTCACTTGGAAAATTAAACCCAACTGAGTATGAATATTTTTGCAGCAAACGTTGTGAGAAAACTTTTCGAAACCATGTCCTGGTTTCCTGACAAAGTCTTTGGAACATTTCATTCGCTGAAGTGCACTGCATTTCTTTTTCTCCTGAGACCTATTATGTAGTAAGGAAAGATTTACAAAGTGTTAACACAGCTATCACTACACATAAATATAAAATTAATATAAGTCAAAAGTCAGAAACCTGTTGGCATAGCTCCACGTGCCTAAGGCTGATGATGTCATCAGTGTAGCCTTTTATCTTTAATTAAAGCTTTCCTATTCCTAACCTCCACCTCCTAGGCTCTGAGGCTCCCTGTGGACCCTTTTGCAGGCCTAAGGAGGGGGAACCTTTAATGTCAAAACATTCGCCACTGCCAGGTCCAATAACAGGCCAAGAATGGGAACATGATCAGTCATAACTCAAGGAGCTGAACCAACAGGATTCTGCCCAGTATGTTTTTACTATTTAACAATTATAGAGCAATTCCTTTTTTCAGACATGATACAATGAAGAAGGAATGAGTAAGTGAGATACAAGCAAGCACCACCACAACAGCTTCTTCTGTGTTTGATACAGGACCAAATTTGTCTTCCAGTCTTCCATGTACAGTAATGTTCTCTTTTAAAAGACACTGAATGAAATTAATTCTAAAATCTGTAGCATTCGAAGAATGTTTCCTATAAGCTAGTGAAGTTAAATACATGTTAGGAAGAAACACTGGCTAGAATAGACATAGACCTGGTTCCCACTTAAAAATACACAACATTTGAATTTAGTGTGCATAAGCATTGGAGCTTTACTTGTGTTTATTTAATTATTTTTCCTACCTTCTTTCTCCCCATCAGATACAGCCACCAGGATATCAGAACCACTCATTTTCAGCTACGACCTGTTATTGCATTTAAACTGTGTTTTATTTACAGTTTACTGGAACAAGCAGGGTCACTAACCACCATTTGAAATTGACTTGTTTCAATATAAGAGTTAATATCAGCCAGACCTCAAGCTCGGACACAACAAACTGCAATTAAAGCACTTCCCAATGCCTTCTCAAACATCTCCTAGGTTCTCATGCTTGCCTGTGTCTTCTCATCAGCTGCCATATGTGTGCACTCACTCACACTTGCCTCTCTTGAAAAGGGATGCCAATCGAGGGTTTCAAAAAGCTTGATAGCAAAGGGGAAGGTATAGCTTCAATTCCTAGCTCTGCACAGTTTGCAACTGAGCTGCCACCCACGTTAATATTTGTTCATGTCTGCATACCACCATACGCACTCATACTTTTCCAATACTCTTGTTCACGGAACTCATCACTCCCCAGTTTGCCATCCCTTAAGAGTTCAATTCCTCCTAACATCAGTGGTGAAGAGTAGAGGATTCCCAGAATGAAGAAGAGCTAACATTTTGCACCAATTTTTGTTAGGTAACATTCAGACTTAGTCATATAGAATTTAAGTGTAGATAGTAGTTAGATCTGTTATGTGTTATCAAGTTCAAAGAGTGGTTTACCACTGCTACCTTGCAATGTGTTTCTATGAACAAGCACAAATTTGAAACCAAGTCTTCTGAGCCCTAGTCTGATACCCTATCTATTACTCTATACTGGTTCCGTTAGTGGCAGAGATGCAAAAAAGAGAGGTTACTTACCTGTAACTCTGGTTCTTCGAGTGGTCACCTGTGAATTCACACTATAGAGTTTAACTTGTGCAGAGGTTTCTGGAATATTCTAGACCTTTATCATGTGTTCGCCAGGACCGCCCCCCAAGTACAAGAGGTCCGCCTGTCCTGGCAATCACCTCAGTTCCTAAGAACAGTCTGCCACTGTAGCAAAAAGGAACTGACGTGACGGACAGAGGGGAGGATGGGAGGAAGTGTGAATTCACAGATGACCACTCAAAGAACCAGAGTTACAGGTAAGTAACCTCTTTTTCTTCTTCATGGCCTCTGCGAATGCACACTATAGGGTGATTAACAAGCTCACTTACCGGAGGAGGGATGTCACGGAAGGATAGATGAGAGCACAGCTCTGCCAAAGGCCAAATCCGTCTTGGCTCTGACATCAAGACAGTAATGTGTGGCAAAGGTAGGTGGAGTTGCCCAGGTAGCAGCGCTACAGATGCCAGGGAGAGGTATGCCTTTCAAGAATGTTGTGGAAGCAGCAACACCTCTTGTGGAGTGTGCTGTAATGCTGGATGGCAGAGGCTCACAAGCAAATTTGTACGTGAGGTGTATCGTTGTCATGATCCATCGAGAGATGGTCTGAGAAGAGACATGGGAACACCTATGAAGTAAATGAGGGGTGACAAAGAGTCTCTTAGACTTGCAGAAGGAAGAAGTTCTAGAAACGCAGAACGCCAGAGCCCTCCTAATGTTCCCACGTAGTCGCAAGAGGTTCAAGGGGAGGTAATGTGATATGGCATAAAAGAGTGTTAAACGACCATTGTGGCAGGAGGGAGGGATGGCTGCATGTTGGATATGCCTCTAAGGAATTGTTTCAGAATAGGATACCTGAATACCATGGCAGCATCGGAGTCCTTTGGTTGATATGCCACAATGATGGTAGAATGCCTGAATAGCATGGCAGCATCAGAGTCCTTTGGTTGATATGCCACAATGATGGAGATATAAACCCTGAGGGAAAAAGTCACAACTGAATTGCAAATTTCTGAAAGGCAGCCCATTTATAGGTACAGAGTCACAGGCTTTCAAGCATTAGTTAAGACAGTAGCTATGGAAGGTGAACTCTCCATGCTGTGAGGTGGAGAGTATGGAGATTGGGATGAAAGGTCTTCCTTTGTTGCTGAGGGAGATGAGGGAGGAGGGGAAGATGGAGGAAATTGGTGGAGATGGACCAGAGCATGGTGAACCAAGATTGTCGGGGCCACAATGGGGTGATGAGAATGGCATCTGAGTGATCCTGACTAGTGGGGCGATGAGAATGGCATCTGAGTGATCCTGACTAAGTTTGACAATGGTCTGTAGAAGAAGGGGTATGGGAGGGAAGAGGTAGCATAGATGAAGGGACCACTGGATCATGAGGGCATCTCCAAGGGAACCTGGGCCGATTCCTGCCCTGGAGCAGTACAGGGCACATTTTGTGTTGTGAGAGGTGGCAAAAATGTCTATGTAGGAGTGACCCCAGAGATTGCAGACACGACGGAAAACAGAGTTGCCAAGAGTCCATTCGTGCATCTGAGTGTGAAGTCTGCTGAGCACATCTGCCACTTGGTTGTGGTGAGTGGTGATATGAACTGTGACTGGACAGATATGGCATTCAAAATACCACTCCCATAGTTGGACGGAAAGGTATAGGAGAGAGATGGAATGAGTGCCTCCTTGTTTGTTGACATAAAAGAGTGTTGTGGTGTTGTCTGTGATTACCTGCATGTCTGTGCCGGTAATAAGAGGTTTGAAACCGCTGAAGGCTTTGAAAATGGCAAGTAGTTCGAGATGGTTGATATAAAGATGCCTCTCGAACGGGACTATGGAGCACATATGTGGCGGCTGTTGCAGTGGGCTCCCCATCCGATGGGACTGGCATTGGTGGTGACCTGAATAGTGAGTTGAAGAGACATGAAGGGCCTGCCAATGAAGGGGTTAGCTGGCGTATCCCACCATAGTAGTTGGGCTGCGGGTTCTGGAGTGACTCGGAGTAGTTTGGTAGGTGGGTCAGACATTGGATCAGAAAGAGACAGGTACAATGCCTGAAGTGAATGCATCTTTAGTCGGGCATGTATGACCTACGTGGTGGAGGCAATGAAGCTACAAGTGCACAAGGTTGGAAGTAATGAAGAAGTGAATGGAGCTTTGTTGCTCACTCTTGAGGGAGGAAGGTTCTTGCCTTTTGTGAGTCTAGAACGGCACCTACAGTATGTAGATAACTCACTGAGAAGGAATCAGTATGGATTTGCCCCTGTTGACTTCTTAGGCCCAGATCTACCAGATGTGATAGAGTAAGGTCTATGTCATGAAAAGCCTGGGAGAAGGAAGGAGTGACCTTTTCCTATGTATGGGAAAACAGAAACTCCTTGCATGTGTAGATGAGCTGCTACAGGGCCATGCATTTTATGAAAACCCATGGGGCAGCACAGCCCGAATGGGAGGGCTTTGAACTCGTAGATGGTTATGAGAAATAGATAAATTAGTGCTGCTTTTGCAGGATCTTGTAGAGGCATAGTGATTAAGTAGATTGAATCTGTAACCAATTAGTACATGCATTTGTTAATTATGTTCCATATTTTTCGCACCAAAAGACACACTTTTTTCCCACAAAACAGGGGGGTGGAAAGTCTGTGCGTCTTATGGAGTGAAGAAAACAGATTATATTTTCTTGTTTTCTTCTCCTAAAAAATTGGTGTGTCTTATGGAAAGGTGCGTCTTATGGAGCGAAAAATACGGTAGTTGACATTAGGAATTTTAGGGGAGGTCCGGGAAGCCAAGAAGAGAATATACAGATACAGGAGGTGCCCCATTGTACTGATAAAAAGATTAAGTGAAAAGACCTGGTTAATAATAAAGAAACTTAATGGGTCAGCTAGGATGACCACAGTGAGGTTAAGGAAAGGGAACATATACCAAATAAGGAAAGAAGTAAATAAGGGCCTGGGGTCTAGGAAAAGAGGGGAGTGGGAGATGTAAACAAAGGTGGGACTTCCTGTGATCAGTTTAGGCACATTGGATATGCTGTACACCTTGGAGTACCCAGACCAATGGGGAAACAAGGGAGGAACCAGGCGGCCAGGAGTTGGGATAAATACCATGCTACCTGTATTGATAGGTGTGCCTACCCAGCTAGGACACCCACTTTTGCAAAAGTGCTTTTAAATAAAGGAGTGCTGCTTGTCTTCATGGTATCTGGTTACTATTTTTAAGTAACAAAGGGTGAGCATTTCTCACATGGTGTCGCTGAGAGATAATTTGAGAAATTTTCAGTGATCTTGACAGATCGTAATGTGAAAATAGGCATCACTTAGGTCGATTACAGCAAATCAGTCGTCTTACTGAAGGATGGGTACAATGCGTTCTAGTGTCACCATACGGAAACACTTCTGAATGATATAATAATGGAGGTCAAGGATGGGACGAAGACCTCTGTTTCTCTTTGGGATGGTGAAGTAGTGGGAGAAGAATCCAGGGTCATTGTCTTGTGGGGTGACAGGAGTGATGGCATCTTTTAGTAGAAGGGCTTGAATCGCCTGCTTCAGAATATTTTACAGGGTGGTCAAAACTGTCCTTGGTGGTGGTGTGAGAGAAAATTTGATTGCATAACCAGTGGGGATGATCTCGAGGATCCAGGAGTCGGTGGTGATAGAGGCCCAAGATGGAAAGTGGCCTGCAAGGCAGGTGGTGTTGAGTGGTAATGTATGGAGCAGGCAGATCTCGGCAAGAGGATAGTCAAAGACTTTTTTTATTGGTCAGGATGCCTGAAAGTTTGCCTGGGGCATTGTCGCTATGTGTCAAGGTTGGAAGGAGGAAGAAGACTGTGGTAAGTACCTTTGTCTATCAGGAAAAGGTTTGTGTTGTTGATAAGGTGTCATTGGTATTGCTGGGGTCGTTACTTTGGTTGAGTATTGTATTAGCATGCTGTTTTTCTCATTTTTGCAGGCTGTTTAAGATCTGATCTATTCTGTCATCAAAGAGACTGACACCATCAAATGGTAAGTCTTCAATCCGCAAACGTGAGTCTTCAGAAATATGGGCTGAACAAAGCCATGCATGTCTGCGGAGAGTGACAGCAGCGGCCATGTGTTTTGAAGCAGCTTCAATTACATGGCATGCAGTAATGAGCTCTTGACAGGCTAGGGCCACGGCCTCTTGGTGGAAAGTGAGGCCAAGGTCTTTGTATTCATCAGGTGCCGACTGTAGAGCTGGAAGGGCTCTGTTCCAGAGATGCCAGTGGTAGGCACCCATAGCTGCTAGATAGTTGGCAGCATGTAGTGTGAAAGAGGTAAGAGAATAAACTCTTTGACCAATGATGTCGAGCTTCCTGCCCTCCTTGTTGTTGGGAGTAGCATTAGAATGGCTGCAATCTCTATTTTTGTGTGGCATCGACAATGACAGAGCTAGCAGGTGGATGTTTGGAGAGGAAGGCGGTATTATCTCCATGTGTTTTATGTAAGTTCTTGACCCATCTGGAAAACTGCAGCACCAAGAAAGGTTTTGACCATGATTGTTTGATCAGTTTAAGAAAAGAAGGGATAAATCCCATATGGAGCGGAGGGGTTTGATTTTGGTTGATGTCTTCGTATACCTTGTCAGATTCTGTCAGAACAGGTTGTTGGACATCGAGGTCCATGATCTTAGCTATGTGGAGTATGAGCTGTGAATAAGAGGAGAAATCCTCTGATGGAGATGGAGGATTGTTATCATTCACATCGGAATCAAGTGTTGGTAGATTAGGCCAAGATTCCCATGGTGGTGAGGAATCAGACGTTTCACAGTCAGAGAGTTGTGGAGACGAGCGGTGAAGGTGGAAAGTATTGTCATTATGAAGAGCCGGAGGTATGAGGCAAAAGGTAGAGATGAAGATTGATAGTGTTTAGACTTGCTAGGACCGTGTTTGGAAGGTAAAGAATGAGTGGACGGGTGAGGCATAGGTCACTTGAGTTGGCAAGCATGCATAGTATTGAGAGGAGCAGTTGAAGGTCCGGTATAGGTAGCAGTGACTTGGAGAGAAGAAGAGCGGACATGCGAGAACGTGTTGGGTTTGGTGGCTTGTGATGTAGCCGAAGTTGATGGATGAGATTGCTTCAGTACTGTAGCTGGTTGAGCAGTGAAAGGCTCGACAAGATGACCCTGCTTACGAGAGGTTTTAGAAGATTTTGGTACCAGAGGAGGAGGTATGGTGTCATCCTCAGAAGAAGATTGGTAATATTCTTGAGCTCTCGGATGGTATTGAGGAGATGGCGACTATGAGGAATCGGATGGGTAATAGTAAGTGTACTAAGCGTGTTTCAGTTCGATGCAGAGATCAGTATCAGGTTGCCAGTATTGATATGACCAGTGTCGATATTGTTTGGGTGGAGGTTTGTAGTAGGTTGGAGGCTCATATAAGGTAACTCACTTTGGATGAAGGTAGCAAGCCTGAGTGCCATGCGATGCCATCAACCCCGTTGATATCAGAGGTTGTGCATGTTTGGCATCGAATCGGCAAGTCTCCAGGGTGTGGTGAGTTTTTTGAGATTGTTTGCGGGGAGGCAATGGATCAGCTAAAAGAGACACCGAATCAGATTCGAAAGCAGAGCCAGAGCAACCCATAGATTTGGGGCTCGGATAGGCTGATTGTAGAATCACTGTTACCAGCTGAGGTATTAGCCCATTCTAGAGACTGGGCAAGTAGAGGAGAAGGTGGTTGACCGGATAGCAGGGGAATGGAGTCATCATCCGCAGAAGGAGTAGACATACACTTGGTGAGGCTTGGATGGGAAGTGAAGATCAAGAAGTTGCAGATCAAGAAGGCAGTGGTTGTTTAACAGTCTGAGAATCAAGGGAAGATTTCTTTGGGTTTTTTTTTGATTTGGAATGGTCGGATGTCGAAGGAGGCCTTGACATTGGTGTTGATTTTGGCATCAATCCCGAGGCCTAAGATTTCGAGGTGGACTTAGATTTAGGCTTCAATGAGACCGATTTTGAAATCAAAGGGGTGGACGGTATGTATGAAGAGATAGCGCTGTGAGGCTGGGAAGTCGTTGTGGCCTCCATCGCAGGTGGTAATGGACGGAAGGAACATTCCCAAAGGAAAGACCTGAGGTGCTGTTGCCTAAGTTTGAGAGCCTGCTTTGTGAAATTTCTGCAGGCTTGACATGATGAGGGTTGATGTGATTCTCCGAAGCAAAAAAGACACGAGTTGTGTCCATCAGAGAGGGGAATTTTGTTAGGGCATCAGGTGCACCGTTTGAATGGCCCCGTGGGGGCCATAAAATGGTGGGAAGGGGGACAGGGGGCGGTAGGGAGAGGGAGAACAGATTGAAAAGTCTCTCATTGATTTCCCTCTGATCTTCTTTCTTTTACAGCTGAACAAAAAGAAGATTAAGGCAAACAGAGAGCTCATCATGAGATAAAACATCAGCGGTGGGGAAAAGGAACTGAGGTAATTGCCAGGACCACGAAGAAGAAACATTATTTATTTTACTGTTCAGATCAGTGACTTTAGCATCAGCATTTCTCCCCCACTTTGAACCACCCACATGCCTCTAGACATTTTCAAGGCACTAAGGTGAAGGCCATTGTATCTTTGTCCCCAGAATTTCTCAGGTACAGGACCTGTGAACTAGGATGATCCATTTAAACCTCACTGCTTATAGACATTGGCAGATTTATCCCCCATATGTGTCTCTACTTCTTTTTAAAGCTATCTAAGCTACATGGCTACCAAAACCTCTCTATACAGTGAATAACATTTTAACTGCATATTGTGTGAGGGAAATGATAAATCTTTTTTTTCTTATTTTTGCTGCAACAGATTTTTGTTAGTTCTACAGCTCTATCTATTCCAAAACAGGAACAGAATGTATACATGGTCGTCAGTCACACAAAACTATCCGATATCCCAGGCATCGTCATTTGTAAAAGGAAATTCTCAAGAAGGCCAGTCACATGTGGATCAAGCTTAGCCTGTATAGATCGCTCCTTCTGAGAAGTCCTTTTTATTGGTAGAATCTCGCTCGCATGAACTAGTAAAAATGTTCAGAAAAGGCAAAAAAAAGAGGTCACATCAGGGTAGTCAGATACTCACCACAACAGGTGCAAGTCGGAGAATGTCTGAAACTATCTTTGCTGATGTTACTGGTATCTTGTAACTTTCCATATAGGTTTTGTTGCACAACAAAGAATGTATTTTCAAAGAGATAGCCATAGACCTGCTCCAACAATCCTGTTTCAATATGCTAAATATGGAAAACTTCAGTTACCTTTACAATACAAAGATTTTAGATTTAACTTTACAATACAAAGACCTTACATCGTGCACCATAACAGTACTTCCAACGCAGTTGTAGTTGCCAAATTTTCTTAAGAGACTGTATTTTTTTCCTTTATCCTATTCCAAATTTGTAGGAAGCACAATATAATTTATTTACCGGGCTGTGTGATTGAAAAACACTAGCAGTTTATGAAAGATACAGAATTGTTTCAGTGAACCAGCTACATTTTTCACCTCTTTTTTTCAGAAACTTGGAGCTTGATCAGACATACCAAAAGAATTATTTCATTTTCATCCCTTTTAGCAATCAATACCTTTTTACATATGGACACATAGTATATATACCACTGGGCCCTTTCATATCGCTGTCAGTTCAATCAGTACATTTCTTGCTATTTGTACCAGTTCTGCAGGCTATGTATACCATCTCATATAAATTTATTCATTTGTCTTCCTGTTTCTAGGGGTCCCCACTGTCCTAAGATTTTCTTTCTTTCTTTTAAAATACAATGGCGCCTCACTAGACGATGATAATCCGTTCCACTGAAATCGCTGTTTAGCGAAATCATCATCTAGCGAAAAGCATTTCCCCATTGGAATGCATTAAAACCTGTTTAATGCGTTCCAAGGGGGAAGAATCGTCGTTGTCTAGCGAAGATCGACCATAGGAAAGCTGCTTTGCAAACCGCCGATCAGCTGTTTAAATAGCTGTCTTGTGAAGCTTAGGTCCCGAAAACACCCGTTTTGAGAGCACGGAGGGAGTTGTCAAAATCGTTGTCTAGCGAAAATTGGTTTGTGAAGCAGGGACCAAACATTGTCCAGCGAAATTCCCCCATAGGAACCACTCTTTTGCGAATCACTATAGCGATCGCAAAAAGTCAATGTCTAGCGAAAAAACTGTCATGCGGGGTAACTGTCTAGCGAGGCACCATTGTAATTTCTAAGTGATATATTGCTATTTTCCTGTCACTTCCACCTGTTAATTGATGTGCAACTTAGTGGTATGTTACCTGCAGCCTTCCTTCCTTTTTAAAATTTTCATTTCCTCATTCCTTTCTCCACTTTTTGTTATTATTACACACACACACATCATTTTCCTTCTCTCCTCCTCCCCCTTTTCCCTTCCCTCCTTTACTCACTCATCCCATTTTCCTTGTTTTCCTGCATCTCTCTGGCAATCCCACACAACACAATGAACTGGTCAAACTTTGGTATGCTTGCAACATTGGAGATGCAATAAAGAAAGCTGGTTAAAATTTTTATTGGTGAAACGAAAGGAAAAAAAATACAATTTGTCTATCTTGTTATCTCAAGAGAAACTGAACAGAAAATCTAAATCAAAAACTGAATCTGTTTTAAAACGCAAATATATTGTAAATGATTCTGCAAACTATTACTTACTCTTTTTGTTTATTAGCAATATCTAGCAGTACATTCAGTAGATGTTCTATTGCCTATGAAAGTCACGGAAAAACATTAAGTCAAAGAAAACAGAATTAACAGAATTATTTCATTTGTTTTTTTAAATTTTATTTATAGGCCACCTTTCTCCCAATAAAGAGACCCAAGGCAGCTCACAATGTTAAAAAGGGTAAAATTAAGAACAGAATAAGTTAAACATTTTAAAAAGTATACTATATGCTAATTAAAATGCAATTGAATAATTAAACATAAAACTATCTTAACTTTAAAAAGGCATTCAGGGACTCGATCATGATTATTAAAAGCCTGCGTGAAAAGATCGGTCTTCAGCTGTTGGCAGAAGGATAAAAGGGAGAGACCCAGCCTGATCTCCTGAGGGAGAGCATTCCATAAGCTGGGCACTGACACACAGAAGGCCCTCTCCCATGTCCCCATCAGCCATGCCTGTGTTGGCAATGGGACCGAGAGGAGGGCCTCCTCTGATTATACCAAGAAAGCTCAGGGATGAATCCAGAAGTATACCCACACTACAAAACTAGGTTTTCAGGGAGAGCGTAACCCCATCCAGCACAGGTTGTATCCCTATTCTTTCATCTGTCTTCCAATTTTGCAGTGGTCCTGGTCCTTCCTGGAAAGAACTCAGAAGATAGTGCTGGGGGACTCCTGTTCAATGTCCTGGTCATTGGCCTGTGGCATCCATCAGGGTTCTGCCTTGTCCCCCATGCTTTTTTATATTTACATGAAACTGCTGGGAGAGGTTGCCTGGCATTTTGAAGTCCAGTCACCAGTATGGCGATGACACCCAGCATTATCTCTCCTTCCCATCTAATTCCAAGGAACCTATCTTGGTTCTTAACTAGTGTCTGGTATCAGTAATGGGCTGGATGAGGGCAAATAAACTGAAACTCAATCCAGACAAGACAGAGGTGCTTCTGGTAAATTGTTTATTAGTTACACTTATATTCCATATTTCCTCCAATAAGCACAAGGCAGCATGCATGGCTTTCTCATGTGTGCTCACTTTATCCTCATAACACAGCTATGTCAGGCTGGAACAGAGTGACTGGGCCCAAATGATGAAGAGTAAGGACTAGAATCTGGGTCTCCCACGTCCCACTCCATCCTTTAAATCACTCCATCCCACCAACACTCTTATTCAGATAAACAGTGAGGGGCAAACAAACCTCAGTGTTCATATATCCGATTTGGACATCCTTCAGTCTATGAAAAGTTCCTACAAGACAGTCCAACAGATCAGCAGAAGAGTCGGGGATAAACTCTACCAAGTACTGTAGAGGCAGCAAAGAAAACCAGGATCTGAACAGCGCTCTGTCTCCTTTCAGCAAATGTTTCTTTTCTTTCATTAGCTGTAATGAATCTCTGCAAATTACACACAGAAAAGAATTTCATCATAAAGATGAATGGTAAATACATATAAAACTGAACACAGAAATATTACACTGAATACAAACTGAATCATCAGCCAGCACAAAATGGAATGCCCAAAAATCATTCCAGGTTCTATAGCACTTTCATTTCAGAAATTGTTATTTGTGATACTAGCAGCCAAACAGTATGGACATCCTCTGGAGAAACACAATTTTCCTCAGGTTTTCCCATCCATTCCCTCTAGCATTGTTACAAGAAAACCTTATATGAGCTACCTGATAAGTTAGTTCCCTTTTGTAAAGTCTGATAAGCTCCACGTTAAGGTGTAGAGTACTGAAACTTTAGGGCCGTCTGTAGGCCCTTGGAACAAACATGTTACCTGTCAAAACATTTAACGTCTCCTTTTAAAGACAGAAAATGTGTGTGGGAGGGTGCTACTAACCATGGCGGCTATTATATCATCCCTAGTCCTGGACAGAATATGCCTCTCAGCAGCAGCAGCTGGGGCACACAACTGGGAGCGGGCTGTTATAATCTCCTGCCTTCAAGCTTTTTTGAAGCATTGCCCAAAAGGAACAGAACGGTGGACCAGATTATGTATTTTGTCATTTTCTGCCCCCTTTCCCTTAACATTTGGCAGAATTTTAAACTTGTTATGTAAATAACTGGTTGATGACATATTACACCTCTTCCCCTCTTTTTATGCTCAAAGGGCAAGAAGCACAAGGCCACTGACAAAACTGCTTATAAGACCTCTCACTCCACAGTGGAGGAACTTAAGAATTCAGTGTCCATCTGCATGAAGGTGGCTATGTGAATGTATTCCAGACAGCTATTCCCATTCCTGCTACCCTGATTATGAGGAGGCCAAAACAGAAAGGTACTGTGTCAGAAAGGCAGTCCAGAGAAATACTGCAAACCAGCCCTCTTTTCCTCAACTTCATAAGTGGCATGACAGGGAGCAGCACACAAGAGAAAGCCATTCATGCTGCCTTGAGCTTATTGGAGGGAAATATGGAATATAAGTGTAATTAATAAACAAGGCAGTGTGGGCACTGCCTTTGAGGAGAATGCTGCTCCTTGAATGGATAACTACCTCTTCTCACTCTTTTTCTCTTTAATTAGTGCAATCCAAGGGTCACAGACATACATCCTTATATCTTGGAGGACTACACATGAGGACATGATCCTCACGCCCAACGTTCTTACATTTTTTTACTGAAAAACCCCATTGTGCCCCCTAGTGGCCAATTTTTAAGAAGAACATTTTTGAATGTGTGGGAGACCCAGGAGAACCCCTCACACAAGGAAACTTTTTGAGGCAATTTTTTTAAAGTAAAAATTTTGGGTGTTAGGTTGCTGGGCACATTTGGGTTTCAGTGTGGCTGTATGTGGTCTGTGGGCTCCACATTGCCCACCCTGGGCTAAACCAACACTGGAGTTTGTATTAAGCTACACTTCACAGTTCAAAAGCAATCCGCCATGGGAAAGACCAGAATCTTGTAGGTAATGGTCTCCGTACCGTTCTCTAAATAGTGTCATTGTTCCATTAAAAGTGCTAAATATTTAATTGTTTCACAATAACTGACTAGGTTTCATATGGCAAACAAATGTAAACTCTTAATAATGCGCCAACATCCCAAGCTGATTGTACCATTTGGGGAACAGACATAGGAAGAGCTGAATCGACATTATATGTAAGCAACATAGATCTTATTCTGTTTAAAGCAGATGTATGGTTTGTAATCTCATTAAAAAGAATATAGAAAACTTCCCATTACACAAACATAGAGACCAGAGTACATCAAACATATACAGCGAAATCGCTGTAGAACAAAATCCTTGTTAAGCAAAATAAAAAAGGCCATTGAAACGCATTGAAAACCCTTCAATGCGTTCCAATGAGCTACATACCTGCTCGTCCAGCGAAGATCCTCCATTTTTTGGTGACTGTCTAGCGAAAAAGCCTTCCTAAAAACAGCGGGGAGCCATTTTCTTCAGCTGGCGGCCATTTTGAAACCTGACAATCAGCTGTTTGCTGATTGTCGTAAAGTGAAAATTGGTTCCCGAAGCAGGGAACCGATCATCATTAAACGAAAAATCCCTACTTAAACCATTGTTTTGCAATCGCAAAAGCAATCGCAAAAACCTAATCGTATAGCGATTTCCTCATTAAGCAAGGCAATCGTTAAGCAAGGCACCACTGTAGTAGAAAAAGGAAGGGAAATTCAGAGACATCCCATTTAAGAAAAACCAAACAACTTCTACAAGACATTCTCTTTTAGAATAAAAAAAATTACTCCACACACATGAAAACATGATGTAGAAAATTAACCCTCTTGACTTGCTGCTTAAAAAGGAAAGAAATCAGGCTAATGTTTTGAAACTCACTTGTTACATATTTGATCCTCACGAAGTTTTATAAATGGAAAACCTTCCAACCCTGCCCATTTCTCTTCAAACTCAAGCTGAGTATTCATTTGAAGACATTCAAAATCACCAGAAGCACTAAAGAGATGAAGAACAGGGATTGCCCACAGCCACTGTTGAACTTCCTCTTCAATGCATCTATTACAGAATACCATCAAACACTCTCTCAGGCTGAAAGACGAAGAAGAAATGGGGGTCACACACAAAAAGATAAAACCTAAAAGTATTTCATCTGCACTGTATGACATATTCATATTTCTGACATAAACAAACATTTACAACTTTGACCTGGACTGACTGACCAAGCCGAAAAATGTGGTTACCGTGTCTCCCCACTCCAGTGGTTGGAGACAACTTTCTTGACAGCCTATTGCTTCATGTTTTATAATCCTTTTGAAGGTATCTGGAACAGTGGTCCCCAACCCATGGTTCGCGGTCCAGTGCCAGTCTGTGGCCTGGGCCACGGAGACGGATCTTCCACCCACCCCGCATGCGCTCCCCCTTGTACAGCCCCTTTGCGCATGCATGTAAGTGTGCATGTGCCCCCACAAGCACCCCTGCCCCTTTGTGCATGTTTAAGTGCCCCAAATGCCGCCCCCTCCGTTGTGTGCGCGCGCAAGTGCCCCCTTCAAGCATGTGCATGAGCATGGGGTGCCCTGCCTTCCCCGCACATGGACCCCGTCCTCCCCCAACCGGTCCATGGTGACAAAAAGATTTGGGACCACTGATCTAGAACATGTTTCCTGGAGAACACAAGATGCTAATATAGAGGAGGAAGACGTAAGCATCTGCTTCCACAAGAGCCCTCCTGGTAGCAGAAGGAAACTAGGGATCCGTGACAAAGTTAACTGGAAAAGACAACTTAATATTTTTTTTCTGTTATTCCTCTTAGCAGTGCTATATTTTTCTCTAAAAGAAGCTCATGTCATTTGATAGGAATATGATAGGCAGAAATTCAACATGCAAATGTTTGTACATTGACAAAGTTGTAACCATAAACATTTTACAAACAGTAAACCTTCCAAGTCCCAGATTAAGTACTACATACCATTTAACCTCTGAAAACATTTCTTTGAGAGAATTAATTTCATTCAGTGAATCTCTTCGTGGCTTCTCCAAACAAAGAAGTATGCACAATTGTATCAAGTCTTTTTTTGATGTTGGAAGATAATACGTATGTCCTAGTAGAAGGATGATCAATGCTAGCCTCAGTTTGTTTTGAACTGATGCATTCTCACATGCACTGTTCTTGTTAAGGAGATCATGAGCTACTTTTCTCAAGTAATTCAGCATTAACATCTTCACCTGAACAAAGGAGAAAGAGAAAGTAACTACAAAATCCATTTCCTCTTCGAAACATTTCACTGATCTAAGGGATGATCATTCAGATAATCATGTCAGAGTTTTCACCAACAGTACATTCTATTAGCATTACTATCTACTACAAAGGTAACAATGCAGTCTCTCAGTTGTAGCTAGACTTGTCATTATGCTTTCTATATACTGAGCACCAAGGAAGAGAGGATACTTCCTGGGCACATAATCTAAAAGCAAACTTTTCAGTCCATTAAACAATGGTGCTAACCAGGACTTCTATGCTGTTCCAATTCAACAAGAGGCAGTTGAGCTAATAACATGTGCCCAGGAGAGGATCGGGAGTGGCTGAAAGGTGCTATGTACACAAAACAGACTGTTGACCACACATTTTCCATTTGCCATGTTTAAAACTTTTTGCTCTGCTTTTGTTTCTAAAAAAAATGTATACATTATACTGAATTCCAGAAACTGGATATTGACACTGGCAGAAAAAAAAGGAAAAATCCCAGATCAATTTTGTAAATGTCCAATATGCAGAGGTTAGGAGTTTTCACTGTTGCAGAGTTCTACAGTAGATGTTCCTAAAAGGGGTTGTGAAAGCACAAAGGGTACCCAATTCACAGAGACCACAATGAGAAAGGCTTACTTTGCTGAGAGTGTCCCTTACAGTGACCCTTCTGTACATCAGGGTATCACTCCAGCCCAGGCCACAGAGGCCCAACTGCTGGACCAAAACAGTACAGGCAGGGATTGGGGTCCGACTGGAGAGCTAATGCCCATATGCCATGTTATCATTGGGAAAGAGCTTGCCCCAGAGTATGCCACAAGCAAACCATATGATCACACTCTTATAGAAGAACGTGCTGCCATACCATATGTTCATGGCATCCTCAGCCAAGGTTTATGCATCTATTTTGTAGTGGCCCAATGTGGACAGAGTGGCCCAAGATCCAATGGAAAAATGATTTTGATCATGGGACTTTTAAAACTATGCAAGCATTTTAAGGAAAAGCAAAAGGCCCAACGGGAGAGTGATCATGTCTTCATTAAAAGTGTACTTGGCTTGCTTACTGAAAGGCCAGAAAGTTCAGAGACCCTTCAGGTAGACATCATTGCCATTAGGAAATAGAACTTTAAGGTCAGGAACTGGAGACTACTGTGGCTCAAACAGAGAGGTTTAACCAAAGCAAAGCAAGCAAAGCATGCTGCTTATATACTGCCACATAGTGCTTCAAGCACTCTCTGGGTGGTTTACAAGTTAATTATGGAGGCTACACATTGCCCCCCAGCAAGCTGGGTACTCATTTTACCAACCTCGGAAGGATAGAATGCTGAGTCAACCCTGGGCCGGCTATCTGGGACTGAACCCCAGGTTGTAAGCACAGTTTTGGCTGCAGTACAGCAGTTTAACCACTGTGCCACGAGGTCTGAGCGCATTGTGAAGGAAAGTGAGGGAGTACTCGAATCAAATCAAATGAAACCAATCAATCAATACTGGAGAGCTTAAAAGTAGAATAGAAAACACTGGTACATGGTGAGAAAGGATAGGAAGGCAAGCTAGGCATCTAAAGTGTGAAGGAGAGGACCTCCCTTGACAATAGTTGAGGTATGACTACAGAACACCATCAACATCAGCTGGAGAAGGTGGACTCATTGCTTGCAATCATGGATTTGCATCAGAAAGAAGTAAACTTGTATATGAATTTACAGTACGAGAGGCTACGGAGAGTAGCTACAGTACAAGAGGCATTCAGATGCCAGGTGGAGTAACTGTTGTAGTGACCACTGGAAAAGGCAGGGTCACAAGCCTTCTGGTGACATTATTTATAACAAGGCCAAAAGGCCGAGAATGGAAGCAAATTAAGGGAACTCAGAACCTCCCCATGCCTGCTATTCAAACATTCCACAATGAGATCAGAAAGCTTTATTTTGTCAAGCAGGGAGACCCACTGAGGTGCTACTGAGGGTTCTTCCTTGGAACCCTGATTGTGCAAGAAGTGGCTACCAGTTGCACTGGACCTGATAGCCGTTATAACCAGATCTTGAAAAGATGAGAGGGAAACAGCAGACTGCAGTGCCTATGCTGCGATCAAAGAGGTGAGGTTTAGGCTTGGTGTCACAATATGGCTGGGAGGATGCAATCTGACAGGAAAAGGCAACAGCATATGGTGACATGGAAATGACAGTACCTGCTCCTTTCCAAAGTGCAACTCCTCCCACTTCTTTGCTCCTCCTCCTTCGTGCACCATTGGGTTACTATTCACTACGTAGAACTGGCGCAACTGCTGGAGAAAGTTCCTGACATTGACAGGAGTCCAAGGGTTCAGTATACTGAAGAGATTTTCCAGCATTTCTCTTGCTGCCAGTTCTTTTCCTTTCACAACATCTTTCTCTGAACTTTTCCAAAATGGCATATGGTTCTTAATGGTGTTCCACAAATTCTCAGGAGGTTTAGCACATACAATGTCATCATACTGATGCCAGTCTGTCAATTAAAATAAAACTCTTTTGATTTCATGACCCAAGACCAAGCTTCAATAAACCCAACTGCCTCTTTGCCTATGTCAGCATCACCATTCTTGTGGCAGCTACTCTCTCCTCTATCCCAATGTGTAAAAAAAATCCATCATGCCACTGCTGCGGCATCATGTCAAGGATAATTTCCAAAACTGAGACAGAACAAGGTTTGTATTAATGAGCAGCCAGGTTTGTACAGGTGTGCAAGAATGCTGAGTCATGGATGATGCAACATCTACAGTGATTGGCTATATGCAGATATGTATATGTACAGTGGTGCCCCGCATGACAATGATAAGCCATCCAATTGAAATTGCTGTTTAGCGAAATCGTCGTCATGCGAAAACCCTTTCCCCACTGGAATGCACTGAAGCCCGGTTTAAAGCGTTCCAATGGGAAAAATACCTCGTCGTCCAGTGAAGATCGCCCATAAGGAAGCCATTTTGCTAGTGCCAATCAGCTGTAAAAAAATGGCTGCCCTGCGAAGCATGGGTCTGGAAAATACAGGGCAGCCATTTTGCAAAGCCGACGATCAGCAGAAAAAATCGTTGTCTTGCGAACAAACGGTTCACAAAGCACGGACCTAATCAACGTCCAGCGAAAATCCCCCACTGGAATGACTGTTTTGCAAATTGCTATAGCGATCGCAAAAAGTCATCATTATGTGGATTCGTCGTTTAGTGGGGTCATCTTGCGAGGTACCACTGTATATATATGTGGAAATGTATTGAAGATGTGTCCGGATCTCTTACTTGAATGTTATCCTATCATGCTGTCAGTTGGTGCTGCTGTATATACTGTAAATATATTCTGGTGTCGAGAGAAGCTGCCTGTCTATGTGTAAGTTATTTGGACTACCTGGACTGGACAAGGCTCTGCTAATTTCTGCCAGTGCTGCGCCAACACACCACCTGCAAAAATCAAGCCAAAGGAAACAAACCACCACACCTTTTCCCCAGCAGAATAAGTCGTTTCTTTCCCCCAGGTGAAGCAAAGAGAAAAGAGAGAAGACAGCATCTTCCACATTCTTAATGTTCCCATACATATGTTGTAGTTCATCCTCATCTGCGACATTTAAATATCCAGACAAATAAATCCCTGCTTGTGCCATCACCATTTTTGCTCTGCTGCTGGCTGCTCTACAGCAGCCTCAGTTAGCCTAGGGAAATTTGTTCTGCCTGCATTGGAACTTATTGTCATACTGTATGTTTCTTTTACACAGGGTTAGAAAGACATTCCTGGAACAAGCTGTCCTTCCAACTTGCTTTGATAAGTGGGAGCAATTGACTAATTACCCTCCGGTTGAGTAACCCAGAGCTTCCAGTCTTATCTTCAAGCAGCACAACAGAATAATTTTAGATTGGAAGTAAAACAACATACAAGAAGCTGTCCAATGTGGCAATGATCAAAACAGAAGCAAACAGCTCAAATCCAATACAACCTATAGTTCCATATTGAGCCGTGCACATTATTAGTCCATGGCACTTACCAAGTGAAGAAGGATATCCTTTTATTTGTGTAAAAACAATGAACGAATGTAAATCCCCACAATACTTCTCTCCACTGGGAGAAGGCCATCATCAGAATGGGACATACCAAAGATACACTCTCCCTTAGGAGGGCCCTGCTGCTGGGTGCAACTTGAAGAACATCCTAACAGGGGAGGCCAGGGAAGTACTTTACTGGGAACCACTTGTGATGGAACCCTCCTTTCGGAAGCAGCTTCTGCTGATGTAAAGAGTATCCATCCTGTAACTATGCACAAAGGAAGACTAAGCTTTCCATGTGCCCTTTCTACAAATATCCGGGGGGGGGGGTAGCCTTTGCCCAAAGTGCTGAAGTGTCAGTAGTCCTTATAGAACAAGCAGTAACACCCAAAGATAATTCCTCACCAGAATTTTCACAACAGGAAGCGATTCATGCCTTGATCCACTAGGCTAGATTTGAAAAATTTCTTATCCATCATGTGTGGTCTTAAAAGGATATAAACGAGGAATAACACAGTCTGAATTTGTTGGTCCTTTTCCAAGTAACTTTTAGTTGCCCTTCTAATATCTAGCATGTGCCATTTCCTTTCTAAGTGAATGAACAGAGGAAGGCCAAATAAAGGCAGAAGGACCTCTCTCTCTCTGTGTGTATTTTTTATTGTGAATTGAGATTAGTAGTCGCTTTAAACCAAGATGCTCTACTGTTTCAAGATATCTTTGGGTTTAGCAATCTTACTCTCCATATTCTTCTCTGTCTGCTTCCAGAATTGCATCAACTGCTTCTCTTTGCATAATGAATTGTAGAATGATAGAAAAGTGAAGTTGGAAGGGGCCTACAAGGCCATCAAGTTCAACACCCTCCTCAATGCAGAAATACAATCAAAGCATATCTGCCAGGTGATTATCTAAGTTTTTTCTTGAATGCCTCGTTAAGTCTTTGGGTACTCCATTTGTTACCTCGTCCCAGTTAGAGAAAGACCCATTAATCATCACCCTCTGAGTACGATTCTGTAGCCAATTGTGTATCCACCTGACACTTGATCTAGCCAGGCCACACGTAAGCTTGCTAATCAGGATATCATGGGGCACTTTGTCAAAAGCTTTGCTGAAGTCAAGCTATGCTATACTTACAGCATTCCCTCTGTCTATCAGGGAGGTTAGCTGATCAAAAAAAGAGATCAAATTAGTTTGGCAGGATTTATTCTTGACAAATTCATGTTGGCTTCGAGTTATTACTTTGTCGTTTTCTAGGTGCTTGCACAATGACCACTTTGCGATCTTTTCCAGAATTTTGCCTGGAATTGATGTCAGGTTGACTGGCCTGTAGTTCCCAGGTTCCTCTTTTTGCTCTTTTTGAAGATAGGGACAAAATTAGCCCTCCTCCAGTCCTCTGGCACCCCACCCGTTTCCCATGATTTCAAGAAAATAATGGATAGTGGTTCTGAGAGTTCTTCAGCCAGTTCCTTCCGTACTCTCGGATGCAGTTCATCCAGTCCTGCAGGTTTAAACGCGTTCAAGCTGGTAAGATATTCCTTGACTATTTGTTTATCAATCTCCAGCTGCAATCCTATCGTCCCCTCCCAAGTGCACTTCCAATTTGTTTGTAATTTCATAGTCTTATCTAATGGGAAAATATTTAACTAAAATAGGAATTGAGCACCTCTGCCTTTTCTTTGTCATCTGTTATCATTTTTCCATCTCCATTGCAGAGCTCTGCCACTATGTCTTTTGCTACTCACATACCTGAAGAATAGTATTTTTCTGTATATAAGACTATACTTTTGTCTAAAATCTTTAGACTAAAAATTGTGGGTCATCTTATACATGGAAGTAAGGTGAGGAGAGAACAAAAACAAATGGAGGGGAAAGCAGGGATCAAAGTGATCCTGCAGGGCTTTGATCCCTTTCCCCCTACACTTGCTACGCCCCACTTAGATTTCTTAATTTTGGATTAGAAAAGTAGGGGCATCTTATACATGGGGGCGTCTTATTTAGTTATTTATTAGATTTTTACCCTACCCCCCCTAGACAGTGTCTACTCGGGGCGGCTTACAAAGATAAAAACATAACAATATAACATGTATAAAAATTATCAAAGACACAGTTATAACAATTAATTCCAAATAAGACATTACACACGGAAAAATACGGTACTTTTTATTGCTTTTAGCGTCTCTAGCTAACCTGAGCTCATTCTCAGCTTTTGCCCTCCGCATCCCTCCATTTCCTTGCTACTTGTCTGTACTCATCTTTGGTAGCCTGGCCTTCTTTCCACTTCCTGTACATGTCTTCTTTTGTTTTAAGGTCCTCCCTGAGCTTTTTGTGAAGCCACACAGGCCTATTTTTTTTTTGCTGCCTCCCCCCTTTTTTCTTGTTGGAATTGTTTGTAATTGTCTCTTTAGAATTTCTTTTTTTAGAAGCTCCCACCCTTCCTGGACTCCTTTTCTTGTTAGGATCACCTGCCACTGGATTATTAATTCTGAGATTATTAAAATTGGCTTTTAAATAACTCAGCAGAAGTGTGTGGCTACACTCTGCTTTCATTTCCTTTGAAATCAAGAATTCTAGAAGGACATGGTCACTCTCACCTAGAGTTCCCCTTACTGCCACTTCCCCCACCAAGTCATTTCTGTTGGTCATAATCAAGTCAAGGATAGGAGATCTTCTAGTTTCTTTCTCCAGTTTTTGTAGGAGAAAATGAGCTTGAGAGGGGGCTACAAGAAAAGAATCATTAATGTATGGGAAGGCTGAAATCCCATGAGTGTGGAGGTGAGCTGCTACGGGTGCCATGCATTTTGTGAATACTCATGGAGCAGCTGAAAGTCTGAATGGGAGGGTCTTGAATTCGTACACAACGTCTCCTAGAGAGAACCTTAGAAATTTCCGACGGTCTTGACGAGTTGTGATATGAAAGTAGGCATCGCTCAGGTCAATCACAGCAAACCAGTCATCCTCTTGAAGGATGGGCAAAATGCGTTCTAGTGTTACCATGCGGGAATGTTTTTGTATGATGCAATAATTGATGTCTCTGAGGTTGAGGATGGTACGAAGTTCTCCGTCCCTTTTTGGTACTGTGAAGTATCGGGGGGGGGAACCCTGGGTCATTTTTCGATGGGATGGCTGACGATACCACATCCTTCAATAGTAGGGATTAAATCTCTTGTTCTATAACTTGTGATCATGTGGTGTAAATTGTCCTTGGTGGTGGCCAGGATGCAATTCTATTGCATAGTTGGTGGCAATGATAGTAAGGACCGAAGGGTCGGTGGTATTGGCTGCCCAAGATGGAAAATGGGCTGTGAAATGAGTGGGATTGAGATGAAGGAAGTAGGACAGTGGAGTCTGGACTGAGTGAGAGTCAAAGACTCTGTTTCGGTTTTTTGTCAAAAAGTTTGAAAGACTGATAGGAACGCTGTTGATGTCGGGGATGAAAGGAAGAGGAAGGGGGCTGTTGGAAGTATCGCTGCCTGTCATTGAAAGGTTTGTATTGCTGGTAAGAGTATGGACGACGCCATTGATATTGTTGCAGTCTGTTATATGGTTGAATATTGTATGAGCATGCCGTCTCTCTCATTTTTTGTAAGTTATCGAGGATCTTGACGCTCTTATTATCAAAGAGCCTGACACCATCAAATGGTAAGTTCTCGATACGCATACAGGAATCCTCACAAAGTGAAGGAAGCAACAGAGTAGACCCTCCAGCCAATAATATTGAGCTTTCTTCATTATTGGGGGTTGAATTAGAGCGGTTTCATGCTCTATTCTGAGTAGCATCAACAACAACAGAGTTTGGAGGCAGATGTTTAGAGAGAAAAGCAGCATTGTCTCTGTGTGTTTTGTATAAGTTTTCAACCCTTCTGGAGATCTGTGGTACCAAGAAGGTTTGGACCATGATTGTTTGATTAACTTTAAAAGTTAATCAAACAATGAAGTGGAGGGGTTTGGTCCTCATTAATGTCTTCATAGATTTTGTCTGATTCAGATTGGGTCGGTTGTTGTACTTCAAGATCCATAACTTTCGCTATACGAAGTACCAGCTGGAAATAAGAAGAAAAATCCTCTGATGGAGAAGGAGGATTGGTGGATTGGTATCAGCCACATCTGAGTCAGGAGTTGGTAGGTTAGGAGGGGGATTCCTGTGGTGGTAAGGAGTCTGAGGTGTCAGAATCAGATGATGTTGGGGAAGAAGATACGAGATGCCGAAACTGCAGGTGGAGCCTGTTGAGGATAGCTCTTGGGCTTGTTTGTACTGTGTTTAGAAAGTGTAGCAAGAAAAGTGACGTGATGAGTTTTGAGGTGTTTTAAGCTTATGGGTGTGAGGTGCAGTGAGCGATACTGGAGATGGTCCTGCATAAGTTGTGGTCACTTGAAGGGAGGATGCTCAAACTTGTGAAAGTGCGATAGGTTCAGGAGTCAGTACTGAGGTCAAGGTCATTGGGCTGGAGCGATTCTGTACCGTAGGTCACTGTGGTGAAGGATACTCAGAAACATGTTATTTATGAGAAGATTTGTTTTGGTATTGCAGGAGGAGGTACGGTATCATCAAAAGAAGATTGGTCATAATCCTGTGGATATTGATGGTACCTAGGAGGAGAGTGAGTCCGAAGAGCAGAACTGACAGTAATAATCATACCAAGAGCATTTCAGCTCAGGATAGAGACTAGAGTCGGGTTGCCAGTAACGGTATGAGTGATGCCGGTATCGCTTGGATGGAAGTTCATAATATGTCGGTGGCTCATATAAAGTGACTTGTTTTGGGTAACAATATCAAGTCAAGGAGTCCTGCGATGCCAGCAACCCCGGAGATTGAGGAAGGTTGGCATCGGGTTCTAAAGTCTCCGGTGCATGGTGAGTTTTCCGAGACCGTTTGCGTGGAGGCTGTGGACCAGGTAGGACAGACACTGAATCCGACTCACACGCTGAGACCAAGCCACCTGTAGGGCTTGAGTGATCTGATCTGGGTAAGATCATCATCTCAGCTGAGGTATTAGCCTAATATGGGGACTGGGCCAAGAGAGGCGATGGTGGGTGGCCCGACGGAGGTGGCAAATAATTGTTGTCATCTACCGAGATGGAATCAAGACAGACGGTTGGTTGGCCTTGGAGTGGGATGGTAGGCTTGGCAGCTGTCGCCGAAACTTGGACTTCAGTAGAATTTTTTTTCCCAGACTCTTTAAATTTAGCATGCTCTGACATCGAAGGGAGCTTCGGTACCGGTGTTGACTTCAATGCCAGTCCAGAGGTCTTAGATTTAGAAAACAACTTAAATTTAGCTTTTGGTTTTGGTGAAGTTGGAAGAACTTCAGAAGAAGCAGAAAGAGCCTGAGAAGGCTGTGGAGGCTCCCTAGTTCACACAGGGAGCGTTCCCAGAGAAAGGATCTAAGGCGTTGCTGTCTGAGTTTGAGGGCCTGCTTGGTAAGATTTTTGCAAAAGTGGCATGAGGCTGGCTGATGGGATTCTCTGAGGCAAAACAGGCACAAATCGTGACCGTCAGAAAGAGGGATTTTATTAGAGCACAAAGTGCACCATTTGAATGGCCCAGTGGGGGCCATAAAAGGAAGGAGAAGGGAAGGGAAAGGGAGCAGGAAGAGGAAAAAGATTTTTGAAAAGTCTCTCACCAATTCCCTCTGTTTTTCTTTAGAAGAGAAGATACTGGCGAACAGAGAGCTCATCGAAAGGTGAAACCTCAGTGGTGGCAAAAAGGAACTGAGGCAATCGCCAGGACGGGTGGGCCACATGTACTGGGGGGAGCGGTCCTTCCATCACATCCCTTATATGTCCTCCAGGAGACAGCATACCTTGTGAGTCCATGGATCCTCCCAGTATTTCAGTCTCAACTCCACGTAGTAGGGAGTTGCCTGCTACAGCTACTCTCCTCTTCTTTTTGTAGGGTGTGAGTTCAGCTACTGTATTCTGCTGCGCTTCAGCCCTACTCATGTCCTCCTGTGGGGTCTCCTCAGGTTTCTCTTTACACTTCTCTTCCAACATAGCTGTGATGTCCTGATACTTCCACCAAACACGTTGGTTCAAATAAGCATCCTTGCACATGGGCATTCGAAGCAAACAGAAGGAACAACCTATTCCAGTAATGTCCTTCTCCCCCACAGGCACGCCGGGTGTTTTGAGGGAATGCATTAGTTGCAGTTCAGCAACCAAACAAAGAATACTAATTGTACTTTTGGGAAACTGGCAGAATCACATGAGATAACTAGCACTGGGAGGACTGCTAGATTGCTTTAGTAGCCCCTGCTTCACCTCCATCTTCCACACTGATGCTGCTAGACTAGTGGCTCCCAACCTTGGGTCCCCAGATGTTCTTGGACGACAACTTCCAGACATCCTGGCCAACACAGCTAGTTGCGAAGGTTTCTGGGAGGTTTAGTCCAAGAACATCTGGACACCCAAGGTTGAGAACCACTGTGCGTGACAAACCAAGCCCTGATCTTCAAATCTTTTCATACCAAAATGTAGACTTCCAAGGAGAACATAAATGAAGTGCCATTAGGTTTTCTGCCCTTGGTTCAGCTGCCTGCAAACACCGCTATTCCCTGTGAGGATGGAAACGACTTCTCGCCCACTCCAGACATCATTTGAATTTCTGTAGGTTGTCTCAAGAAAGAACAGGCTCTATGTGGAAAAATACCCTTTGCCTCTCTTCAGCTAGTTTGCAGGGGCTGGCCTTACTTGTCAGGCTGTACACAAGACACAGTACTTCCATCTTCCTATATATCTCACAGATTATATGATGGCCAGATTCTGTAACCATTCTCTGTGGTCAATCTCTACGTTTCACCCTTGGATTACCCTTTTAACAACTCAGAGTGGTGACTATGCTTCATCTCTCATTTGTGTGAACAAATCTGCAGTGAACTGCTGAATTTCCATGTCCTTTGCATTAGATCCTTCTAGTCTTTTTACCAAGGGGAAGGCGGTGAATTCTACAACATTCACAAACATGGGTTTCCTGGGGAGGGTATCTGACACAGGAGTTGGACAAAGACGCTCAAGCACATTCTACAGATATGAACAAGCACTTACAAGACAGTCCCAAATTTGCCCTTAATTTACAAATCATCTTCCTCTAATGCTATATTGTCATCTGTGCTTTTACTCTCAGTTACACATACACCCTCATTCAGACCCAAACTGTTTGGCCAGTTGCAACTGCACATGCTCTTCCCAGGAGATACAAAGCTGGAGACTCTTTACTTGGTTGCTATAATACATTGTGAACATTAAATAAACTTAACTAACACACTGGAGACAGTTCTTACCTTTACCACATAGGAAATGTGAGTCTATAAACAAACGACGATTCACCATTGTTCCATGTTTGTAAATGAATTCATACTCTTCTCCTTTTTCACGTGCAACTAAATATTTGTAGGGAATTGATCTGTCCATGTTGACCTTATTAACAATAGCACAGCCTTCAATAAAGTGACCATGCTCACCAAGATCCCTGTTGTTAAAAAAAAAAACACAAGCGTATGTACAGTATACTTTACCAGCAAAGGAGTGTAACTGGCAAGGCAAAGAATTTTGCAACAAGAATATTATTAAAAAGAAGGTATCTATCAACATTTTCCATTTAAATTCTCATTTATCTTGGAACACAATAGTCTAAGTCAGCAGTTACCAATCTAAGGTAATTCAGGTGTTCCTGTACTGCAGTTCCCAGAAACTCTGACCAGTACAGCCAATGGTGAAGGTTTCTTAGAGGTTTAGTCCAAGAATACCTGGGTTGCTCAAGGTTGGGAATCATGGGTCTTAAGTTGTCAATATATGCAGAGCAGATATGCATGTGGATAAATTACAAAGGCACAAACACAACACATTTCTTATCATATACTGCTTTCTCTAGAGAGTCCCAGGACTTTTAAAAAGGACATCTATTGACATATGCCACTGTAACTCCAAGAGGTAGTCTATCTTACCTCTTCCAAAATATCACAGCACATTCGCCCTTCTCTTGCTTCAACTTTTCCAGCACACTCTTCTCTGCGAAACACCATTCCATCTATCGCACCTCACACTCATTTTCATTTTTTTCCCAACTGCCACTCCATTTTTGTGTACAAAACTCAAGGATCAGCCCATTTATGTTGCTCTTCCTCCTTTTTTTCCAGTGGCTCTATTGGCTTCATTTCTTTTGATACTCAGGATGCCATCACAATGCCCATTTGAATTGTTTCCTGTTCTGACTTTTTTAAAATCAAGTTTAAATCACACAGTATATAAACTTGTTTACTTTGACTTAAATTAATCCAATTTATTTCTGGTATTTAAAACTGGTTTTGGTAGGTACACTAATGAAATAGACTCATTTCTTTTCTGTTTTAAGCTGTTCATTCCTTTGACATATCGCCAAATTGATGGTTGCATTCATCTGACAACTATTCACGGCCAACGAGGCACCACCTGGTATCATACACTTGGAAAAACAAAGTATTGTGGAGGAGAGCACAACTAATGGGAAAATATGGCTTCATCACAATAAAGGAGCAAACGAGGTGGACTGTTGTAATACAGAGTGCACTGATTAACTGATGAAGTGATAAACTCTTCACAACGCCCCCCCCGTAAAAAAAGTTCATGGCCATAGTGCATTAAGCAATACATCTCTTAAAACCTCTATAATCAACTGACAGTGCCAATGCCACCCAAATTGAACAGGGGAACACAATAAAACAGCACCATCCACAAGAACCAAACCAATTTCAATTAAACTGATTTAGAAGTGAGGATTTTAAAAAGCCCTTGCCAGCTCATTGGTAAAAAGTCACTTTGCAGCCCAAATAAATTGATTCCACCCGTATATAATGTGCCAAGGAGAAGAGATTGGTACAAACCACCAAATCAGAGGTTTGCACCAACGCATCCTTTGGCTGAACAGGTGTTCAGCACTTACCAACCCTGCCTCCCCCAGCAGGGGCCCACTCAGACTCAGCACCTGGAGGAGGCAAGGCAAGGCAAGGCAGCCAGGGCTTTGCCTCTGAGTGGGCACCCACCAGAGGAAGTGAGGCTGGGGAGCGTAGAACACTTGCTGATTCACAAACATGGGTTTCCTGGGCAGGGTATCTGACACAGCAGTTGGGCAAAGACACTCAGTCACATTCTACATTTTGTGTATGAACAAGCACTAACGAGACAGTCCCAAATCTGCCTTTCAGTTACATTATTATATCTTCTCTCTACTGTCATGAGTATTTTACATTTTCGCTCACCATGCCAATGTCCCCTGATCTCTGGTGAACATAACGTTAACATTTACAACACATATTTTGGCCATAGGAATTGTAATCAGAAATTGCATATTTCTGGAGTGGGCAGGGAGAAGATGTTTTGTGGTTGCTGCAAAGGAACTCGCCACCTTCCAGAAGCAGGAACAGAAGGCAGTGGAGTGGCCACACAAGGACGAGTTGTGTGACCTCTTCCACCAGTGCTCTTGAAGTAAAGCACAATTTCTGTACCTGCCTGTGCACATTAGATTCAAACATGGCCTTTTCTTCTCTTGCAGCCAGCTGACCTTGAGGCCCTGAGAAATAGGATAAAGGAAGCTACTCTCACTCCTCCATCTACAGGCTCCCTAAAATATGCAAGAATTTCTTTTAAAGATTTCAAGTAGGAGAAATAAAGCATCTCCTTCTCTTACATTCCCACTGCTGAATTCAGCTACCTGCAGAAGCTTCACAAAAATATGAACCTTTCTGCACCTGTCAACAGACAAAGCTAGAAAGCAGTGTTACAGGGACTGATGAAACTACAGGGGAAATGAATGACCTTGTCAACCTTTTATTTTTTAGAACTTAATATGCAGCAGCATTCTTTTAAATTTATGAATAAATTTATGTATAAACATGCAAAGTTGCACTTACTTTGAACAAGTAAGCTCACAGATATTGTCCGTCCAGTCCTCATAGCCAGACATTTTTCCTGCCCTGATAAAGATTTTGTGCTTCTCATGATCAAACTTGAAGTCCTTAGATAGTATGGCATGAAAATAAACCATAATACGATCAGCAAAATCAATATGGCTGGGGGGGGGGAGAGAGAATAAGAAAATGGTTAGCATAGCTTGTTTTAACAAATTCACAAAATGAATCCATTCTGACAGCAAACGGTTCCACACACATGTTCGTACAAAGCTTTTCATGTTACAGAGAAGAACTGGGGGGAAAGAGCGAGCCAAGTTGACATGCAAAAAAAATAATACCCTGATTATGGTACACAATAATACTTTTTAAAGCTCCAAGAATAGGGGACAAGCTGAAATATCAGTAGCAGAACAGCAAACATCTTCTTATAAAACATAACTGTTACTACTGTTACTGAACTTCCACCTCCCACCTGCTAAACACTTAAGAATTAGAGAGGAGATTTTTCCTCTTACTTCCTGTTGCCTTTCATGAAAAACAAGACCCGTGCCCACTGGAAAAGGAAGGTCATGACAACCATTTTTTTCTGGCAATACTAGTCAAAATTTGCAGACTCTTGAACCTGGACATCACCTCTGTTGTCCTTCAGTGAAAAGCTGGCTTTTTGACCTCTTTCAGAAGATGGACAGATAGCAAAGTAAAAATGACAGAATCTGGAGTATTTGTATACAATAAAAAAAAAATACCTGTTTTCCAAAAACAAAAGTAAAAACCCCACTTTTATTCATTTATTTATTTATATCTTCTCTTTCTCTCAGCAGAGCAGCTCAAGTTTCCTTATACAGTGGTGCCCCGCAGTACGACAACTCCACTGAATGGTGACTTTTTTGCGACCGCTATAGTGATCGCAAAATGATGTTTCCAATAGGGTTTTTTCGCTAGACGTTGATTCGGTCCCTGCTTCGGGAACCGTTTTTTCACTGGACAACGATCTTTACAGCTGATCTTGGGTTCCTAAAATGGCTGCCCTACGTTTTCTAGACCCATGCTTCGCAGGACAGCCATTTTAACAGCTGATCAGCACTGGGAAAATGGCTTCCCCTATGGAGGATCTTCGTGGATGACGAGGTAACTTCCCCATTGGAATGCATTGAACTGGGTTTCAATGCATTCCAATGGGGATTTTTTTCGCATGACAACAATTTCTCTGTACAGAGATTTTCCTGGAACGGATTATCGTCGTCATGCGGGGCACCACTCTCTCTCTCTCTGTGTG